TTCACTATTCACGCATTTCAGAAAATAACCATGCAACCTTAAATTCAACACAGTTTGCAATTGATAAAACTTTGACAATGTGCTATCACAATGTAGATAATATTTAAAGCATTTGCTTCCTCTCAGTAATTACATTGTAAACCCTTACATTGCAGAGTGCGTCGTTGAACAACAAACAAACAAACAAACATTTATAAAACGTCTGTCTATATCGAGAGAGCGGAAGGTCGTGGGTTCCATCTCCGGTCGCGTCACACCAAATTACGTTAAATGATGGTACTTGTTATTACCCTGCCGTCGTACGCCATTACGGGTTGAACTGAAGGACTGGCCGGCTCGTAGTCAGGATAAAGTGCCTTCATTTGGCATCCACGATACATTGAGTCGTGGTTTAGCTATCACTGTAAAACAGGCATAAGTTCGGACTCGTACACGCAGACACACACATGATCAATGTCGTTATGGAAGTGCAATAATTTTGAACGCGACGCTAAACCCCATCCCAATTTGCCAAATCCCACCATCCAAAGTATATGTGTCTAGAATATATTCTCTTGGATTAACGGAGGCGTGGGTGACCCAGTCGTTTATCATCTGTTGTTTGTTATGTTAATTAACTTTATAGCAACAGATGACACATTGGTTATGTAATTTATTCCTACCGTCAGATGTTTTGTAATGTATACCTGCCATCAAGGATGTTGTAACTAACGAAACGGAACGGAACGGAATAGATGCAGTTGGGGAAACAGTAAAAACAAACATTGGAACCATTAAGGCGAGAACAAAAAGTGAAAATAGAAATGCTTTGAAGTTTGCGCCGCACATTCCGTTCTTTTGTGTACATCCAAAAGTAAGCTACTGTCATGGAGTACAGCAAACTAATATTTCCGCGTCGATGAATTAAATATTAAATATACATATATTTAGACTTTATAAAAACCTGTAATCGAAGGACAGTATGATATAACTATACTCTCTCAAAAAAGAAACGCAACCCCTATATTTTCAAGATGTTTATCTCAATATTCAAGTTTTAATAACACATTTATTATTGAAGACAACAATATGAAATTTTGCATGGTGGCAGTACAGTTATGCAAGTTTAAGTCCAGACTTCGACAGTTCTTTTACTAAGATTGACTTGACGCAAGGGGGCGTCTTTCTCAGTACCTCGTATGAGCGCCACGAGCTGCGATCACAACATTACACCTCCTAGGAACAGAACGGATTAGACGCCGGATTCTTTTCTGAGGGATTGCTCTCCACTCCTCCTGCAGTGCAACGGCTAGTGCATCCAACGTACTCGTCGGTCCAGATAATCCCAAAGATATTCGATTGGGTTGATGACTGGTGATCAGGAGGGCCATGGTAACACGTTGACGTTAGAATTCTTGAGAAAATTTACTGTTGCATGAGCAGTGTGCGGGCGGGCGTTGTCGTGTTGATAGAGCTCCCTCTGTTGGTCGATAATCGGCAGAAGATGAGGATGTAAGACGTCATTGATATAACGCTTGGCTGTCAAATTGCCACGAATGATCACCAAGTCTGATCTTTGGTTGTAAGACATGGCTCCCCACACCATGACGCTCCCTCCTCCATATCTGTCGACCTCCCGAACACAGTTCGGGCAAATCGTTCGTTTCCTCTTCTATAGACACGCTGTCTTCCGTCACGGCGTTGCAGAGAAAAAGTGATTCGTCACTAACCAGACGCGCCTCCAGTTTCTGAGGGTCCATATCCGAACGTTGGTGCACCACCTGAGTCGTTGGCGTCGATGTTCGTGGCGTAAAACAGGTCCAATAAGTGGTCTTCTTGCACGTTGACCGGCCTCTCGTAGACGGTTCCTAATTGTTTGTGCGGACACTCTTCTCAAACCTGGCACCTGTGTTGCAGTGACGGTAGGTGTGGCTAGCCGATTACGTAGGTGAGTGACCCGGATGAATCTACCTGAGGTGGTGTGGTAACCCTTGGCCTACCACTTCTGGGGCGATCTTCAGTTGAATGAAACTGGGTGTATCGGCTCCAAAGTCGGGAAATCGTTGTTTTATGAACACTGAGGTGCCGGGCAACGTTTCAAAAGCTTTGTCCGGCCTCAATACGACCAATGGCGATATTCCGATCTGCAGCACTCAACTGTGGCATATTCAAACTTGTCTTTTGGTGAAAATGATAGAGTGAATCGCTAATCAACACGTGCTTTTATAAACCCATACTTCTACTGCTCTTTCCATGAATTGCACGTGCATGAGGCTATTCGCATGGGCCACTAGAAAATTTTGCGCACTATGATGAAAGTAACAATAAAATGCCCTTGTGCACGAAAATTGGTGTGTTTGGGCGTTTACGTTAATAAACAGTGTACATGGTAAAAGTGCATATCAGAAAAATTGTATTTACAATTAATATTTTTCTTCTTGGGGTTTTCTCACATTTTCAGACTGGGGTTGTGTTTCTTTTTTGAGAGAGTGTAGAATCACATATAAGATTTAAAACTAGTTGAGAAACATCTAAAAGCAGTAAAAATAAGTTAACATCACAATATGAAAATGGGCTAGAGATCGTCAGTAACTAAAGGGAGATCACCATACCAGGGACCATGGGGACTTACAGTGCCTTTGCTTCCTGCATGGACCCCGGCAGGATTTATATCAACCCTTCAGTCACTGGCGATAGTTTTCCAGTTAAGCCATATATTAAAATGACAAAAATACTACGTTTTAAAATTCTGGCATGCATAAAAATACTTTGAATGATGTGGGACTTACATATCCTCTTAGGGGGACAATTGCTTGACTGTATCGATTTTTCCATCACAAGGGATAATTATTTCAAGGTTTCATCCATAAAGGATCTTTTTACTGTAAGTTCTCGTTTAATTCTTGGGTTTTGTAAAAAGTATGTGATTTTAATTTGGTAGAATGAACTCATAACTGAGATTGTTGGTGGCTGTACTTTCAAAGGGGGTTGAAGTAACGTAAGAACGTACCTGAGAAGCTATGTAAGTCCCATTTCATTAAAAGTATTTTTCATTTTCCATGTTTTTAATCGTAGAATACTTATTGTGTGTTTAATGATTTGGCTTAAACTTACTGACATTCACCAGTAGCAAGAACTATGGTGTAAATCCTGCTGGGTTACCATGTCGGTAGCAGAAGTATCGTAAGTCCCCATGGTACCTAGTATGGTGACCTACCTTTGGTTATTGGTGATCTATAGCCCATTTTTATTGTATAGTGTTATGAATTGTTCCAATGTTATGATGATATACTAGTTTTAAATCTACATCTGTGATAGTCTAGTGTTTTTACTGTCCTTTGTCGACAGATTTTAATGTCTATAATTCTGTATTATTAATGTGATAACTTGATAACTTGATTTAGTCACGATATGGCTTTTAAAAACCTAGTATTAAACGAGAATTAACATCATTAAAAGGTCCTGAATTGTTTTAACACTGAAATATTTATCCCTTGTGATGGAAAAATCAATACAGTCAAGCAGGACATGCTTGACCGTGATTCTTTCATCACAAGGGATACAAAACGGAGGATTCTCACCTTTTAAGAAATACTCATGCGTATATCTCGAATGGCCAATACGACATCGTCGTAAAATGACCTCTTCAAATCTGGACTGACAGCCCAAGTAGGTGTAACCAATATTTGGTTTAATTTCATGTAATTTATTGATACCTACTTGGGTGTCCAAGTAACATTTAATTACAGGTTTATAATCGGTGTAGGGGATTAGAAGTGGTGTCACAGATTTGTTGTGTGCTGCTTTTGCAGCAACATCCGCCATTGTGTTACCAATGATACCAACATGGCTTGGTAACCAACAAAAGACGATGTCATATTGGCCAGTAGCAAGATCATTAATTAATTCGAGAATTTGGATTAAAAGTGGATGTTTTGGTGACATATTTTGAATTGCCTGAAGGCACGAAAGTGAATCTGAAAAAATTATGAGTTGTTTATGTTTAGATTGGTTACTGACATATTTCAGTGCTGCCACAATTGCGTTTGCTTCTGCAGTGAATACGGATCTGTAAATATAGATTTATCAGTGTCATAAATGGTTCTTAATTGATTATATTCTTGTTGGTAAATCAATTGGTTAGTATCTGATTTCTTAAAGTTGAGTAGGAGCTGTATCTTGGAGTTTAATATTAGAAGCTGATATGGCAGATTTCATTCTATTTCCGAGTAGTGGAGTGAGTGCTGATTTCTTATTGTAAAGATCTTCGTAGAGAGGATTGAATATGCATTTTGACTGATTAGAATATAATTTAGTGATGTATTGTAAAGAAAATTTTAGACTGCGTTTTTTAAGAGAAGGCTCATCTGCTTCTATATATAGACTATGAATTGGGATACGTTCTAAAGCTTCCAAGGCAAAGCCTCAGGCCTTGATGATGGATAGTATCTAGTTTTTGTAAATCACCTTTGCAGGCTCCACCATAGACGATGGAGCCATAATCAAGTTTTGAACGGATCAGTGATCTTTACAAGTGTAGGAGGGTTGTTTGATCGCCCCACTTTGAATTTGAAACTACTTTCAATAAGTCGAGTGCCTTCAGACATTTAGCTTTTAGGTATTTAATATGTGGGAGAAAAGTTTAATGGTTATCAAAGATAAGTCTTAAGAACTTGGCCTCCTTAACAACTTTGATAGGGGTACGATTTAATAATAGTTCAGGGTCCTTATGTGGTTTATATTTTCTGCAGAAATGTATACAGTTAGTTTTTTATTTGGAAAATTGTGAATTTTATTGAGACATAATTGAAATTGCCTTTCTATTGAGTGCATATTTTTACCACGACAAGATATATTAAAATCATCCACAAAAAGTAATCCATCAACTGAATCATTTAAAACTTTTGACAAACTGTTTGTAGATGACAGAGATTCACTGTTCTTTATTTAGCGGTATGCGGTTGAATGGCTTGGCTTGGACAGGGGTGGTAACTGCGGGTGGATGGTATAAGAGAAAAAGCATGCAGGGTGGCGTGAAATTTGCAGTCATTTTAGTAAAGCTGGACGTGATCCTTCGTCAGGAGGAGCTGAAACTGGAAATTAGTAGATCAGTATTCTGGACAGACAGTACAATTGTGATACAGTATATCAGGAATGAAAACAAACGCTTTCATGTGTTCATAAGAAACAGGATAGCTCTTATCCATGAGAGTTCAGAGCCAAACCCATGGAGACATGTGGGCAGCACAGAGAACCCTGCTGATGACGTGTCACGGGGGCTGGATGCAGACAAAATGGTGTCCTCTGACAGATGGAAACATGGAACTGAGTTTCTATTTCAAGCAGAGTCTGAATGGCCCACAAGTACCAATCTCAGTCCAGAAATTCCTGATGGTGACAAGGAAGTGAAGAAAGCTACAACAACTTACACAAATGTGACGAATGGCTGTAGAGATCTGTTGTTTGACTTGTTTGAAAATATTCCACGTGGCACAGCCTAAAACGAGCTGTAGCATGGATCCTGAGATTAAAAGGAATTCTCTATAATAAGACTCAGGAGTTCAAGGCACTTGAAGCTGGGAAGCCAATTGCAAGAAGTAGTGCCATTTATCGACTGGAACCAATGTTTAGTCCAATGGGTGTCTTGTGTGTTGGTGGAAGGCTGCAAGCAGCACCTGTACCTGTTGAGAGCAAGCACAATATGATACTGCCAAGGGATAGTCATGTTACTACCCTAATTGTCAGACATTACCATGAAATTTGTGGACACTCAGGCAAAGAGTATGTGTTGTCCCTTATCAGACAAAGATTCTGGATACCTAAAGGTAGGAAGTTAGTGAGAATTGCAAAGACGTCAGAAGTCGCCGAATAACCAAAGGATGGCGGACCTGCCTAGAGACAGAGTGAGTCCAGGAGATCCAGCACTCGGACAGGACTGCTTTGGTCCATTTATGGGGAAATGGGGCCGGTCAGAGGTCAAACGTTATGGATGCATCTTTACATGTTTGACAACAAGGGCAATACATCTAGAAAAGTTGGATGGATTGGATTCAGATTCTTTCTTGAATGGATTTGTAAGATTGAGGATGTCCGAAGACAGTTCGATCAGACAATGGAACAAATTTCCGTGGTGCAGAAATTGAATTGACATGAGCTATTGATGCCTGGAATTTGAAGAGAATCGGAGCGAGTTCATGAGCAAAAAGGAAATCTGTTGGATGTTTAACCCTCCTGCAGCTTCTCACATGGGGGGTGCTTGGGAGAGACTCATAAGGACAGTTCGTAAAGTCATGAATGCTTTGTTGAAGACGAACCATCCACTGGATGATGATGGACTTCATACTCTTTTTTGCGAGATCGAGTCGATTGTAAATGGCCGACCAATCACAGTGGTATCAGATGATCACAAAGATGCTGAACCTCTGACTCCTAACCATCTTCTTTTACTTAGAGCAGGTCCCGATTTACCTTTGGGAAGTTTCCAAGCAGCAGATACATATAGAAGACGCTGGAAATGTTCAGTTCCTGGCGGATATATTTTGGAAACGCTGGACGAAGGAATATATGCCTTCACTACAATTACGTCAGAAATGGATACTGCCAAAGAGAAACATTATGGTGGGAGATAATGTGCTAACTCTGAATGAGAATTGTCCCAGGATAAGTTGGCCTTTGGCAAAAGTGGTGGAAACCTATCCAGGGAAAGATGGACTAGTACGCAGCGTTATGGTTCGTACAGGAGGTTCTACGCTTGCCAGACCTATTGACAACTTGTGTCTGTTGGAAGGAGTCCATGAGTGACTTACCTTTTTCATCCTTTTGTGAAGTAGACATTGATGACCGAGGGTGACCAGTATTTGTGTTCATAAACTGTTTTGGGAAAGATTCATTGTGTTCTAATTTATTAAATGCGCGATTAACATGTCGTTTCTCTGCACATTTAAGGGTCCAGAATGTAGATGACAGAAAGTCACTGTTCTTTATTTAGCGGTATGCGGTTGAATGGCTTGGCTTGGACAGGGGTGGTAACTGCGGGTGGATGGTATAAGAAAAAAAGCATGCGGGGTGGCGTGAAATTTTGAAAGTGTGCATCGCTGTGAGTGATAACCTGATGTACGGCTGTTGTCAACGCTATGATTCTGCCACGGAATTTGTAAGTAATACTTTGCATATGCATGCATGATATATTTATTTATGAAAGGGGTGTAATTAGATATAATGTTCGTTTCAAGCCAGAATTATTTGAGAGTTACCACCGTGTTGTTACGTGTGCATGTTATTACCGTATTTACCGTATTTTTTGGATTATTACGGAGTAAGTTTGTATTGTGACAAATTAGCTGTGTTTCGGACATGAGGACATGCAAGTAAGTTTGTTGTTTTGTATGGTTTCAGCTTGAACCTGCTTCGTATGGTATACGTTGAACATTGACTGTTTGGATCACAGAATAAAGCACTTTGTGAGAAAATGCAGAATCTGATGTTTATTGACTTTGATAACCACACTGTTGATTTTTATACTGAATAAAGTGACAGACAAAATACTGCCTTGTGGGAGACCCTGATCCTGATTATAATGATGAGACGGGGTTGTACCCACTCGGACTTGAAATTGTCTGTCTGTTAAAAACTCAGATATAAACTGAGGCAGATGGCGTCTTAATCCACAATCATGAAGATCTTTTAAAATACCATGTTTCCATGTTGTATCCTAAGCTTTTTCTAAATCGAAAAAGATCGATACAGCATGTTGTCTATTTACAATGAAAATTTTAAAGAACGATTCTAAACGCACTAAATGATCGATGGTGCTTCTGTTTTTCTGGAAACCACATAGTATATTGGTAAGAAGATCATTTGTTTCCAGGTACCACACTAAACGATTATTTACCATGTGTTCCATAGTTTTAGAAACGCAGCTAGTTAGAGATATAGGTCGGTAATTTGATGGATCAGAATGATCCCGCCCAGGTTTGGGTATGGGGATAACAATAGCATTATGCCATGAATGTGGAAACGTCCCTGAAGTCAAATATCATCGAATATAGTCAACATTGTTTCAAGACATGATTCGGGCAATTGTTTCAGTAGCTGATAATGAATATTATCAGCGCCTGCTGCTGTATCATGAGCTTGCCCTAAGGCAGTATATAGCTCATGTAGTGAAAATACTGCATTGTAATCTTCACCATTATCAGATGTAAAATGTATTTTTTTCTTTTCCTGTTGGAGCTGATATTTTTGAAATTCAGTAACGTAATTTGATGAAGACGAATGTTGAGATAACGTTTTCCCAAGTCCATTGGCAATAGCAGTTTTATCATTTTGTAAAGTATCGCCATCCTTTAGATGGTTAACTGTAGAATGTGATCCCTTGCCTTTGATCTTTTTAATCATGTTCCATACCTTGGACATAGGAGTACGAGAGTTTATTTTTGAGACATAGTTTTTCCATGATTGACGTTTATTTTGCTTAAATAGACGTCTTGCCTTGGCATTTGAAATTTTGACAGTGTTTAAATTATGGACAGTGGGATGTTTACGGAAGTATTTCTCCGCCTTCTTACGACATTTCCTAGCTTGTTTGCAATTATCATCAAACCATGGTTTACGAATGCGTGGGTTGACAAGAGGACTTAGGAATTGATTAATCAGCATATTTATTCAGTTGATCTGAGAACAACTGAATCGGGTCAGTAACATTCTGAAAAGACGTAGGTTGTAATTTATCTTTGCATAAAGATTGAAATAAAAGCCAATCAACCTTCAAAACATTCCACCGAGGTGAAGGTGGATCATCAGTGGGGTTAATGGGTTTAAGTACGGTTGGAAAATGGTCACTTCCACATAGGTCATCGTGGCCTGACCAGGAGAATTCGTTTAACAAAACTGAATCCGTCAGAGACAGATCTAGAGATGAATATGTGCCAGTAGCAGGATGTAAGTAAGTGTCAGAGTCATCATTAAAGATGCATAGATCATTATCGGAAACAAAATCCTCGATCACTTTTCCCTTTTGATTAATGATTGCACTTCCCCATAAAGGATTATGGCCATTTAGATCACCCGTAATGACACAAGGCCTTGGGAGTTGGTCATATAGTTTTTGTAGATCATTTTGCTGAAGATTTGAAGAAGGTGGAATTTATAAGGAGCAAAATGTGAAGGCAATATGCAGTGTAAGTATAACTGCAACTGCTTGCAGATTCGTGTCAAGCGGAACAGGACTGTGAACAACGTCCCGCCGCACAAAAATAGAAGCACCTCCAGTAGCTTTGTCTCCCAGAGAAGAGAAGGAATGATAGGAACTATGCTGCCTTAATTCAAATTTGTCTGTATTTTTTAAGTACGTCTCTTGTAAACAAATTGCTGATGGAATAAAATCTGTTGTTAATAACTGTAGTTTATTAAAATTGTGCCTAAGCCCTCTGCAATTCCATTGAAGTGTAATTGAATGGTTCAGGTGGTTCCACAGGAGATCGCTCACGTGAACGTGAAGAGGAGTCACAACTGTTGCTGTGATGTGAAGATGGAGTAACATCCATCTCTAAAGGTTCAAAGAAGATGTTTCAGATGTTTCAGTAGGAGTCGGGATCTTTGTTGTAATTTTCCTGTTTTCTTTTGTTTTCTTGACGTGTCAGTTGATGTTTGTCCAGTAGCTGATATTTCTGGAGCTGGTAAAGATTGAGTCAAAGCCTGACTCATAATCTTAGATGGTAGAGAAATGTCACATGCTGGAGTATCAAAATGAGGCGTCTGACTTTCAGATGTTGTCGCAATAGGCATTGGGTGTTCTGAATTTGCCCATGTAAAATCTGTTTTACATTCTATTGATCTAATTGTAGAAGGGTGAGAGACAGCTGCAGCAAAGGTTTGTGTTGTTAGAGGAGCCCGGCTGGCAACAAGTTTTTTAGCATCCAGATAAGACATATTATTTTGACATTTGACAGTCAAAATATCCCTTTCAAGTTTCCACAGTGGACAGGATTTAGAAGATGCCACATGGCGGCCATTACAATTTGTACATTTGAGTTCTGCTGTGCAATCAGAACAGTCGGTCGATTGATGACTTGGACCCATGTCCAAACTTCTGACACTTGTAACATCGGATTTGATTGGGGACATACACCTCCACTCCGATGTTAAAATAGCCTGCCTTTATTGATTGGGGTATGGTTGAAAGGGGGAAGGTGAACAAATATGTATTTGTAGGGACAAAGTCCTCACCATCTTTTCTTGAGAAACGTTTCACTGACATGACATGTTGTTCCTTTAATTCTTCAAGGATTTCTTCCTGTGACATCTCAGCCAGGCAACGGGCTCTGTCGCGGATGATTACTCGACTTGAATTAAGCGTTCTGTGCACAGAGACAGCTACTGCAGTGTTTGCAAACGTTGTACATTTCCAAAGATTGATAGCTTGCTGTCTCCGTGCACACTCCACCAAAAGAGAGCCGCCCCGGAGCCGTGAAACAATTTTTAACCTCTCCGCAAATACCTT